TGCAGCAGTGTTACCACACCATTACAGGAAGATGCACTACTTCATGGACTTCACAGACAGGATCAACAAGTTTTTGTGAAATTTTGCATGGACCTAGGCCTCATGCACAGTGGGCTCAGCCTATAGAAGCACCTCTATGTTAGCCTATGTACCCAGGCACACACAGGCATTTAGAGGCATATTAGAAGAGAAGCATTTACACTATCACCAGTGAGTTCAGGAGAAAAGGCTTCAAACAGAAAAAATGCTAGACATACCTAAGTGTGAAAATATCAAGCGCAATGAGGTTCCAGGGGACATGTAGATGACCACATTATGGGCAGCTCCAACAGCTCATCTGCCCAGCAATGAGACATGAGCACAAAACAACAAATAAAGGAGCACTCCCAACCCTGTGGTAGTCAATAGAATCACAAGCCCAGGAACAGTTAAAATTGAAATTCACTTTAATGATGGATTAAAAAGCATGACATGTAAGAGTGCCCAGATTGATACATCACCAAGCCAGTGGAGAGGAGAAACACATTCCCAGAAGCTGGAGGATGACACATGATACTGGACTCAACAGTAGGCTTCTCAGCCCAGGAGTCTCAGGACAGTGGGAAGGTTGTGTGGATGGCAGCTGCTGGGATCACTAAGATGGTGTATCCGCCGGAAGTCATGTGTCCCAGATCCGGTTGTTATATCATACACCTGACGAGAGACCACCCAAACAGGGGCTGGTTTGGGCAAACTGGAAACCTAAGGGAGCACTCAAACAAAAGGAGGGAAGCTGGTCATCATGATGACATGTTGGGTCCAGGATCATGTGTCATCCTCCAGCTTCCAGAAATATGTGTTTCTCCTCTCCACTGTCTTGGTGATGTATAAATCTGGGCACTCCTACATGTCATGCTTTTTAACCCAACATTAAAGTGAATTTCAAGGGGGATTGATATCTGTGTGCTTTTCTAGCTGTCCGTCTCTCACAGCAACCGGAAGCACCAGCATTATGAAGGTCCTCAGCCTGACTGCATGGTATGGGAGAAAAAGGGTTAACGCAGGACATCCATGAGATTCACACTAAGTGTCTAGTGGGATCTCATTTGGTTACTGGGAGTGAGGCAGCAGAGGTATGCTGATTGGTGGAAGTGGCATGGTTTGACCTGTCACTCCGTATGCAACAACATATTTAAGTCACTGTGTGTAGTGCTATGGGACATCACCTAACAGAAAATCCGCTTTAATTACTACATGCATTGCTAGCTCATCTTTAAGGGCTTTGATAACACGAAACGTGTTAGGGAGGTGCCCTACTTGGTGACGTCACGCCGCACGCTCCTCATGGAAGGCCGGCAGCCATCTTGGATTCAGTCTTTGCCAGATGTGAGTATATATCTACTATGTATGCTTTGATCCACTTATAAAATAAACGATACTGCATTATTAGAGGTTTTTTCTCTGGCTCGTTCTTTATGAGCCCCCCCTTCAAGGTATATCCCTGGTATTCCACTGGTACCCACTTGAGTGATTCCTTTTGCTGGATGATTTACCCCTGGAGCCTGGAGATGTATACGGTGTGTTGCCTGTTATGCTGAGGTTTGCCAGATGACCCCAGAGTCCCGTTTCCAGATCCAGAAGACCAGGACTTGGTCTGAATTACTCAAATGCGCAAGTTATTGTGCTTTCTGGTTAGTGCAATATACATCCATATATTATCACTGGAATCACGGATCTTCACCTTAAGGCTAATACCATTGGACTTATTTTTGATATTTATCACATCACTTTGAGCACTTTATATATCATGCCTGGACGTTAATCACGCTATTGTCTTTTTTGGCACTCCTTAGCGTCTCATTTAATGCATTTTATTATTTTATCATCTGAATTCTTTTATTGTATGGTTTGCACCCATTTATATCATCATACAGCGCTGCATATTTTATTTCATATATTTATGAGAAGGATTTGAGGTTTACCTATATGTTGGCTGCTTTTATTTTATTTTATCTTGCGCTTGTTTGCTTGCTGCTTTTGAATCTTACTGTTAAATTTATGCTAAACCGGCAGCTCTTTCTCTCTGCTTCTGATAGCCACTTGTTTTTCCATTTGGCTGCTAGCGCTGCTGGTTCCTCCACAAGGCTGGATTGTTGTGTCTGTCATTCAGCACTCTACAAACCTCCTGCCCTGGTGCAGTGGAGGCCATACAGTGCACTCAGCATCTCCCTGGTTAAAGGAGGAATTGACAGGTGCAAGGGTGCTATATTCTGGACATCCTGAGACTGCTTAGTTACACGTGATCTATTACTTGGGGGTGACTGCATCTCATCTAATAAAGGTTCCACATCCATGACGTCCAGGTTGAGGTCTTCTTTTAGTGCTAAGTCCTGTACCCACCAATGCCCTATCCAATAGGATTGCCTTGGGTGACCAGTAAAGGTGCAGTAATTGGACAGTGGAAAGTCTGATAGGTGGCCCATATCTTTAAAGGACTAGGCTCAGCCAGGTGAAAACACGATCAGAGGTGAGTAGACATCTTGCAGTGTGTGTGCTTAGGCAGGGCCTTTACTATTAAAAGTTTAAAGGTGTACTGCAGCTAGACATAAACACTCAAATTAATGCAGGTTTGTTTTCATTATAACAGCACTGAAGTACTTTTAAATACAGTTAGTATCAGAATCCAAATTTGACTTGTAAGTCCCTGCACATCAGTACTGTTAAAGAGAGGAACTTTAGAAGTGCTACCTTCTGAGATGGAAAAAGCAAACAGGAGGAAAGAGTAGAATGATCAGGGAAATTAACGCATCACTCTGCCACTGCTCCTCCATTGTCAACTCATAGCTTGGTGGCAGAGAGGTGACCAAGCTGTATTCCATAATTTCAGCAGAAAACTGTCAGGCCACCAATATGTTACAAGGCTGTGAAACTCTTAGGGATGGATAAACAGACCTTTAGATCCTTTGGAAGGTAAAATGGCTATATATTTCATGGCTGTATATTTCAATTGAAAATTTAAAGCAGAAATCCAGACTAGAACTAACTAAGTGTAAAACTGTTCTTGCTCATATTTTAACTCTCTACACTAACTACCATGTAGATTCTACATTGTAAAAACATTTAGAAGATTCATTCTACATTGTAGAAGGAAGATACATATATTGTACTTACCGTATTTGCCGGCGTATAAGACGACTGGGCGTATAAGACGACCCCCTACGTTTCCTGCTAAAATGTAGTGTCTGGGCTATACTCGCCGTATAAGACTACCCCTCTTCCAATGCACACCAGTGGGAGGAATAGTGCCCCATCATCAGTGTCAGTGGGAGGAATAATGCCCCATAATTGGTTTTAGTGGGAGGAATGGTGTCCCATCATTGGTGTCAGTGGGGGGTGGAATAGTTCCCCATCATTGGTGTCAGTGGGGGGTGGAATAGTGCCCCATCATTGGTGTCAGTGGGGGGGGAATAGTGCCCCATCGTTGGTGTCAGTGGGGGGAGGAATAGTGCCCCATCGTTGGTGTCAGTGGAAGGAATAGTGCTCCATCATTGGTATCAGTGACACCAATGATGGGGCACTATTCCTCCCACTGACACCAATTACACTTGCTGACCCTGTTCTAGTATGGTGCTGCTGCAGCCAGCATATGTGGTTGCAGCAGCACCTCTACACTGAACACTTACCTGCTGCTCCTGCACTCGATTTTCGCGGGGGGACCGCTCGGCTCCGCCCCCTCGCTGGTGATTGGCCGCCTGTGTGCCTTTCCTGAGCTACAGTTCTGGCGGCCAATCACCGGTGAGGAGGCGGGGCCGAGCAGCCGTGCGAACATCCAGTGGCCGAACTGAAGGAGTAGCCGCGCTTCCTGGACCGGATCGTCGTGGGACCGGAGCCAGGTAAGAAACAGCCCCTGCCCACCCCTGTACTTAGTGTCCCTTCCGTTGGAAGGGGGGGCGGCAGCACCGCGCCACCCCCCTAAAAAGTGTCAGTATGCCGTATACCGGAGTATAAGACGACCCCCGACTTTTGAGAAGATTTTCAAGGGGTAAAAAGTCATCTTATACGCCAGAAAATATGGTACCTATTCTCAGGACACCTCTGCTCCAGTCATGTAATCAGCTCCCAGTGGCCAGCTTTAAGGGAGAGGAGGGGCAGCCAACAATGGATGTCCTATAGTAAGTTTATGGGTGACGTCATCCAGCGCTCTCTCCTCTCCCTTGACGTGGCTGGACCAGAGCGCTCTGAGAGTATAGTAAGTATAGATATCTTTCTTCTACAGGGTAGTTAATATACGTGTTAGAAGGGGGGCGGAAGCTGTTTTATTCTTAGTTAATTGTAGCCCAGACTTTCACTTTAACTTTTTGCCTGGCATTCAGCTTTCAAATGGTTAACAGGTTCACTTCAGATTAAAATAAAGACTTTGGCTGGGGATCTTCAGCAATTCAAGACAATGTTTAAACAGCATCAACGAATCTTAATTTTATTTAAAACATGTTTCTTTTAAGAATTACAATATAAACAATAGTTATTTTTGCCAATCCCATATGAACGTACTTTAAAATCTCCTTTTATGTTGTGATTCCTGCCTGTCTGCTGGTCATCTCTTTCCACAACTTCCTGAATTCCCTGCATGCTTAGCAGCTTTTCCTCTGCGTTTTACTCTCAATTTGTAATGACTACATATCCCATGGTCCCTTGCTGCCTGCAATCAGTGATTCCTGTACTGATTCCACCTCCTGAAACTCCTCCTCTTGGCACCTCTGTGGTCCAGAAGGCAGGCTCTGTGAAATGTGTGAAACAGCAGTGCCTATTCACAAGGCATAGTGAATACATGTCATGGGATTCAAGGAGGTAAATGTTTGGGGATCTTCACAAAGCAAGTTTACAAAATGAACAACTTTCCGCTCATCCTATTGCAAAATGACAATCAAGAAGGACTTTCGTCATTCTGGGTGGAAGTCAAATGACGTCCTCTCAGAACTCACCTTGCGAGCTGCTATGCGGGCGCGATCTGTCACTGATAGCCGATGGCAGATCACTGTACCAGCCTGCTGCCAGTATCATGTGATCACTGTGACCTATCACAGCAGATTATATGACAATTGTAAACAATGAATAGCTATGATTGATTCCATTTATTGTGTACAATTGTGTCACTAGCTGTGATTGGTCACAGTGATCACATAGTACTGACAAGGCCAATCATAGCCCATCTGTACCATGCAATTAGCTGTGGCCAGTCACAGCTAATCACAACAACATACTGAATTAATCTATTCCATTCAGTAAAAATAATTGCTTATAGCAGGGAAATTCATTGCTACTGTATAAGCAATCATAATGTGTAAAATAAATTAGGATTTTTTTTTTTTTTTCTTTTCCATATAGTCACCAGTCAGTCTGATCACCGCCACACTAGTTATACGATGATCCTGTACTGCACTGGTGACAGTATGAAAAAAAAAATTGTGCATTTTTTTTTTTACATTTCTTAATTTTCCAAAAAATTTTGACCAAAAATTACAACTTCAAAAAATCTCTCCATGCCTCCTACTAAACACCTTGGACTGTTCAAAAAAGGGTTCATTTAGAAGATATCTGTACTGTCCTGACATTTTTGAGCCTCAAGAAATGTGATAGACCATCAGTCCATCAGGTTTGATCGTTTTTCAGATATATACCATAGTTTGTAGATTATAATTTTCCTATAAACACTGATTGTAGGTGTTGTTTTCATAAACATATATTATTTCCTAAACGGAGTGAGTATTGTCTCATCAAAAGTAAAATAAATCCACTAACAATATATTGTATATAACAGTAAGCACAATTATCATTTAGGGAATTCAGAGACTGTACCTTCCACCTTCATCTTGTGCATCCTCTAATATATAGCCACACAGCGATAACAACCTGCAGATATAAGATGGCAAATTATCCAAAAGCTCATTTAGGTGACTGATGTGATGTACAAGTTACCCTTGCACAGAATGACCCCATTATGGAATATTCAGAGAGAGGAATTGTCATTTTTAAAATTTTTGTTTTCTCCCATGTCTCTTGGACAGTTGTGACAGGTATGAACATAGAAGAACATATCTTGGATAGAAATACAAATGGGATCAGAATTCTCTATGCAACTAACCTGTTCAATGACTTTTTGAAGATTACAGATAGGAAACTGTTTCATAGTGTTCACAAAGACCTAGGACAAAAGCTTGCAGCAAGTCAGACAGTACAATGATTAAAGGGTAAGACAACCCTTATCTGATAGTTCTGTTTTGGGAAGACTAGTACACATGTTCAGAAAATCATATAAAAAATACTGCTTTTAAAGTGATTGTACAATAATCTGATCATTAAAACACAGCTTTCGGAAGTAATTATTCGAAGAGACAAGCACAAAAATGTTTCTTGTACAGTACCAGATTGCACAATTTACGTTTAACTGCTATCCCACCACCCTATAGAAAAAGAACTGCTACAGGGCAGCAGGGCTGCGCAAAATCACGTATATATACGTGATTTGCATTTCCAGGTAGGGGGTGTGCATCTGTGCCATTGGCAGCTAGGGATGTGAATCACCGGGTCCCAGCTAGAGATTCTCCGCGGCACCCAGCGATCGTCGGGAAACCTGACAGGGGAGAGACCTGGTCTCTCTCAAGCCAGCAAAGACATGCTGCTTTGTATTTCTCTATACAAAGCAGCATGTCTCCCTAAATAAACACACACAGCACATCATGTAAAACAGCACACAGTTAACCCTTTGATTGCCCCTTCCTGCCCAGCGCCATTACTACAGTGCCATTGCTTTTTATTAGCACTGATCACTGTATTAGTGTCACTAGGTTGTCAGTGGCAGATAGTCAGTTCCCACCCAATGTCAGAATGCCTGCTGCAGTCCCGCAGTCCCCCACTTTAAGTCGCTAATCATCGCCATTACTACTATAAAAAAAAAAAATTCCAGTATACATACTACCATTTGTAGATGCTATAACTTGCAGGTAAACCAATTAATTTACACATACTGTGATTTTTTTTAGCAAATACATTTTGGTCTAAATATTATGAAGAAATTTGATTTTTTAATTTTTTTTACTGGATATGTTTTATAGCAAAAAGTCAAAAATATATTGTTTTTCTTTTTTCAAAATTGTCAGACTTTTTTTCTTGTTCAAAATTTTTATTTTGTTCGTAGGGAGGGGTAACAAAGATAAAACAAATAAAGTATACAATATACAATACTTATACAGTGAAATTTTTTGGAAGTGCAGTATTAACCGTAAACATCAGAACGGCAACAGGTAAGAACTGGTTAACAATATTAGGTGGGGAATGTGAAGGTGGGAGAAGACAGGGGGAAGGTATGCGACTCTGCTAATGAGAAGAAAAAAAAAAAAAAAAAAGGAGCTGTAAAAGTAAAGGGGAGGGTACCAGAATAGTCAGGGGTGTTGGTTATGGAGTGAGAAGAGTTTCATCAAAGTTAGAGGGTAGAAAGTGTTCTACCCATGGGTCCCAAATCATCCTAAATTTGGGGATAGTATGCAAAATTGTGGCTTCTACTTTAGCATGGATCATCGCCTGGGTTACTTTGTTTCGGACCGTAGTAATGTTAAGCGACGTAGACTTCCACGATTTGGCAATGACCTGTTTGGCAGCTGTAGTAACCTGCAATAGAAGCTTAAATTGTAGTTTTGTGACTTCGGGTGGTCGTAGGTTAAGCAACGCTGTTAGCGGGTTAGGATGGAGGTGTTTCGTACTTAATAAGGAGAGCATTTTGAATATTTCCGTCCAGAAGATCCTGGCGGTTGGGCACTCCCACCATGTATGGAAGAAAGTGCCTGGGTCTACGCAACCTCTGAAGCATGCGGAAGAATAGTTAGGGGTATATTTAGCTATTCTCGCTGGTACTAAGTACCAACGGGTTAAGACTTTGTAGTTGGTCTCCAAAGCCACAATATTCTGCGACGACCCCTTGGTGGTAGACCAAATACGGTCCCAATCCGAGGGATCAATTTCGTGGGCCTAGGTCTAAATCCCATTTCCGTACGTAAGAAGGTAGGGAAGCTTCAGATGGGGTTGTAAGGAGAGAGTACAGGTAAGAAATGAGGCCACGTCTGTGTGGGTCTTTACTACAAGTTCGTTCAAAGGAGGACATGGCTTGTGTGGGGTTAGCAACCATTGCGTAAGGGGCGTAGAAGTGTTTCAATTGCAAGTAGCGGAATATTTCTGAAGGCGGAAGTGCATGAGTTTCACGTAATGAGTCAAAGGACCGGAGTTTATTCCTGAGCATGAAGTGATGAGCTCGAGTGAGATCCGCCAAAAGCCAGCGGTTAAAGGAGTGCGGAGAGGACCAAGCCGGAGGAAAGGCAGGATTTCGGATATAGGAGAGGAGAGGATTATGTGGTGACTGTAGATGATACTGGGATTTCAGCTTATCCCAAAGATGCAAAAAATGTAAGGTGATAGGGTTAGTAATCGGACGGCGATCTATAGGTCTTAGCCAGAGAAGATTAGCTATGGATAAGGGATCACAATCAATCGATTCCAGGAAAACCCATTGTGGAGTTTCATAAGTTGCATGGTATTTCGGCAGTTGTGCTATATGGGCCGCCTGGTAATATTTACTGACGTCTGGAAGACCAAGACCGCCATTAGACTTGGGAAGAAAGAGGGTAGAGCGAGGGACACGTGGACGGGTCCCACCCCAGACAAAGGAGAAAATGCGGCACTGTAATGTGCGCAGATAATGGGCAGGCACTGGAATTGGAAGAACTCTAAACAGGTATAGTATTTTGGGGAGGATGGACATTTTCACGACTGCTATTCTGCCCAACCATGCTAGTGGGAGGGAGGACCATTTGGACATGAGTGTAGTAAGTTGAGCTAAGATTGGGATGTAGTTGGCGGCATAAAGATCGGAAACGTTCGGGGTAAGTTTTATACCTAAGAAGGGGATGGATCCTTGTGACCATGAGAGCGGAAGGATCTGTTTTAGTTGGGTCAGATCATCCGGGGATAAAGAAATATTAAGGGCCAGTGACTTCCTGGGATTTATAAGAAGACCCGAAAGAGAACCGAACCTTTCGAGCAGGTGGAGAAGAGTAGGAGTAGAGGTCAAGGGGGAGGTTAGAAAAAGTAGCACATCATCCGCGAATAAACATAGTTTGTGGCAGGTACCCCCGATCTCAATACCACGGACATCCGGACTGGCCCTTATCAGAAGCGCCAGTGGCTCAATAGCTAAAGCGAATAGTAGGGGGGACAGTGGGCAACCCTGTCTAGTGCCACGTGATATGGGAAACCTGGCTGACCGATGCCCTAAGTATTTGATTCTGGCCGAAGGTTCTTGATAAAGAGAGAATATCCATGTTAGAAAATGGGGGCCAAATCCCCAGCGGTGCAGGATATACCGTAAATATGGCCAGGAGACTGTGTCGAAGGCCTTGCAAATGTCTAGAGACAGAAAACAAACAGGAATCTTGCGAGTCTGAGCTATGTGAGCGAGAAGGGTTGCTCGACGGACATTGTCACCAGCCTGCCGAGTCGGCATAAAGCCTACCTGGTCATTGTGAATTAGGGACCCAATACATGTGTTAAGTCGAGTCGATAAAATTTTTGCTAACAGTTTAATGTCTATGTTAAGAAGAGATATTGGTCTGAAGTTGGACCACTGCGTGTCATCTGTATGTGGTTTGGGGATCATCGAGATGGTAGCCTGCAACGTTTCAGAGTTAAAGGTATGACCGGTCAGGATTGCATTAAATGCGCGTCAGTGAGGAGAGGTATGAGAAGGTGAGCGAACTTTTGGTAGTAGGTGGCGGAGAAACCGTCCAGGGCCCGGACGCTTACGAGGCTTTAGTAGTTTGATAGCATTTAAAGTTTCAGCTGTGGTAATAGGTTGCTCCAGCGCATGTAAGTGATTATCGGAGAGTTTCGGGAACGGGAGGGAGGTAAAGAGGGCGTCAGCCTGAGAGGAGTCAAAGGGTGTAGAAGTAGAGTACAGCCGTGAAAGATGTTTATGGAAGATATGCAAGATCCGTTCTGGATTACTCGTAAGATCAGATGAGGTACGCAAACGGATAGGTTTAATAATCCGGTCTAGCCTACGGAGGGAAAGAGCTAGGAAGGTGCCAGGTTTGTTGGCTTTTGTATAAAATTTGTGTCGGGACCTACGGAGGGAGAG